CCAGCATACACGACAAAGTGGGGTTAACTTGGGTGCTCTATGGGTCGTTGGCAAGCTGCCTGATTTCATTTTTCTTTGTTCCGAAGGTAAGCTAGCCAACCTTGACACTGTTGGCTGCAGTGTCACCAGCACACTGTCAAGTTATCATTGTTTATTAAAGTACAAATATCAAACATCTTGCTTCTACAACTAGAAAAGACTATCTCGCCTAACAAAATTAAGCAGGCGATTAACTGTGCTGATGTAAGAAATGTCTGTCAGAGTGCCGTACGTTGTGCATAAGACCTTAACTTAACTCCCCCCCCCCCCCGTCTTTTTTTTCCACGCTGACAATGACATCCCTAATCGTTTAAAGGACATATGAACAAGCTAGGCACCACCACATTTAGGCCATATTTGCTGTACCGAATCACCCGAAATTCAGGTAAAGGTAGTTCCATAGCAGATACTGCCAGTGGGATGATTTAAAGTGTTAGGCCTTCACATATTCTAGGTCATGACATACAAGGTTAGGGGTAGTCAGTTTCCTTCATTATCACTTTTCCTTCAAGAAAAGAACATTCCGGAAATTTGCTCTTACTCCCTTGTATGAGACTAGGCTGACTCCACAGCTTTACATTTCAAGAAAAATATCTTGCCGCTTTTGAGAGAAAAAATTTGACTGCCTCATGCGGCTTCTGGAGAATACAAAATTCAAACCCGCTGCCCCACAAGTAGGTCCTAAAAAGAGACTAATTACTAGTGTTTCCTTCAAGGTCGGAGTGCAGCTATCTGAGAGGCAGGAATCACCAGTCTGTATATGAAAAAGAATGATCTGTAAAGCAGAGCTTTCCGGTCAAATCGGACATAGGGGCACTGTTTGGAGCCGAGGCAAATTTTTTGCTTCGGCCGGACGGTGGCCGATGCATTTTTGCTCCATTTGTAGACTGGATATAGTTTCGTCACCCAGCTTCTGAGTTGAATGCATGGCGTGACAGTGTGAGCAGCGGATTTCATTTGGATTTTTTTTTTACTGTGACCAACGGGGTGGTGTTAACTGTAGATTCAGAACATGGCGCGATGCCTGTCGTCGCAATGTTGGTGGTGCCCGTATGTGATTAAAATTGATCACGAGAGCAAGTGCTGATCTGTTGGTGACTTCTGCTACCATCAATGGTGAACTGCATTTCTAATGTCAGACTATTTGTGTTAGCACTTTGGATGGCTACCGTATGCTTTAAGGCGTGTGCATGCTAGATATGCTGAGACAGCAGTCTGTCAATCTTTCCACATGAGAATGTAATAAACATTCCGTGTGTTTGTCGTTGGCACAGGAGCGGAGCAAAGATGGGGTGACCCGTTTGCTATGAAGCTGAAACTAAGACTACCAGAGCTGTGGAACAGGACTAACAACCAGAACTTTCCGCTGGAGGTCAAAGCTGGAGAACGCGAAGAAGAATCTGGACCATTGTTGCAGCAAGCAAAGTACCTAATTAATTAATGACTGAATAACTCGGTTGCTTCCTAACATGGATGTGGATACAGCTCTCACATCCAAGGTTCACACTTGGGTTCAAGGTTCACAGTTTAGGTTCCAGGGTCACATTGTGGGTTAAAGGTTCAGTGTGTGTCCCAGGGTCATATTGTGGGTTCAAGGTTCAGTGTGTGTCCCAGGGTCATATTGTGGGTTCAAGGTTCAGTGTGTGTCCCAGGGTCATATTGTGGGTTCAAGGTTCAGTGTGTGTTCCAGGGTCATATTGTGTGTTCAAGGTTCACACTGTGGGTTTCAAGGTTACACTGTGGGTTCAAGGTTCACATTGTGGGTTCCAGGGTCCCATTTTCAGAGAAAAAGTACAGACCTCTGACCCCAAAAAAGCATGCCGTAAGAGGCGACTAATTAAGAGTTTGCTTAACTTGGATGTGTTGGGCTAAAAGTTCAGATACTGCAGCCTAGCTGAAAACGGCACAACATGCAAACCACACTTTTAAGGGCAAATGGAGAAGAAGAACTCCCATTGTGAAGCAACTGCCAGGTAAGCTACTGTCTGCCTCGCTGGGAAGCTTCCACATTATGGTGTCTACTGTACTAATGTTATCTACGGCAATGCTTCCAAGGGCTGGACATATGTCACTAACACTCTCACACCAGAAACCTTTGGGAGGGGAGGGGGGGGGGGGGGGGGGGAGCCTAGGACTAGAGAAATTCAAAAAATAAATCCTTACAAACAATACAGGTCACTAATAAATGATTTAAAATCTGTTTACATGCATTGAGTGAATTATTGTTTTCTATTTCTAAAGGATACATATGAAGGGGAGTAGTCAATAAACACAAATGCAGCAAAGAACTAAACAATTACATTCCCTTGGGCAAGTCATGATGTGACCCCGCAGATTACTAAAGCACAAGAGACACTAATTACATCATCAGGATTTTAAAATACCAATCATTCCCCCCCACCCCCCCCCCCCCCCCCCCCCCCCCCCCCCCCCCCCCCCCCCCCCCCCCCCATAATGATAATGATATATGGGCCTCCTAAACAATGTAGTGACACAACTAAACAAATGACATTTGTTGAGACAGGTCCATACAGCAATGCCAGTTAAGCAGCTTATTATATAGCTTTTTTATGAATGCAGATTTTGGGTTTACTGCACTTTGTGTTGAGTAGGTTAACCGTGGTGACCCATCACTTGTAGTTTGTGCAAGTTAAGAGCAGTCTAAGGGCCTCGCAGTCTAAGGGTGATGTATCCAGAGACCTAAACGTTATGCCATTCAACCACTACTGCTTGCAGTACACCTTTAGTCACTCAACACACCCCGATGTCTATTCCATGATATACCTTTAGTCATTTAGCAACCATACCCCTACTTTACACCATGCCTTTAAGTCATTTAGCAACCATACCCCTACTTTACACCATGCCTTTAAGTCATTTAACCCCACCTTTTCCATGACATACATAAGTTATTCAACCACCACACCTTCCTACCTATTTCATGCCACACAGTTGGCACCAGTAATCACCCACCCACCACACCTTCCTACCTATTCCATGCCACACAGTTGGCACCAGTAATCACCCACCCACCACACCTTCCTACCTATTCCATGCCACACAGTTGGTACCAGATGTCACTCAACCACCACACCTTTCTACCTATTCTATGCCACACAGTTGGTACCAGATGTCACTCAACCACCACACCTTCCTACCTATTCCATGCCACACTGTTGGTACCAGATGTCACTCACCCACCACACCTTCCTACCTATTCCATGCCACACAGTTGGTACCAGATGTCACTCAACCACCACACCTTTCTACCTATTCTATGCCACAGTTGGCAACCGATGTCATTCAAATCACCACTCACTGGTACATATTCCATGCCAAACCAGTAAAAACATATTCAAGCAGACACACTTGTTAACAAAAATAATGCTGCTAACAAGGGCAATATACATATGAAATATTTTTTTAGCGACCACATACAATCACATGAAGAATGGCAAAAGAGTTGTTCTTACTGAAATACTCATCAATCACCAAAATATTTCACCACTGACATATTTCCTAGGCATCAAATGAAATCAACTGAATGGGTTAAACTATCTTATGTGCATGTCTGGAGCTTCAGTGGTGCAGTGTGTAGCTGCTGCCTGCCACCCTGGTGATCTTGTATTTTTATGATACCTAGCTAGTCAGGCGCTGAGTACACTTGTTCCTGCAGTGAGGCTCTTTCATCATTTGGAGGTGGCATGGTAAATACAGCTTTCAATTTCCATGTTGTCTAGTATGGTCTTCTATCTGTCCACATCTATGAGTGCTGATAAATACATGTTTATTTGTTTATTATATATACTGAGATATTTTCAAAACTGACCTAGGCTCCGAGGTCAGTCTAAATAAGCATCATAAAATGCTCCAGGAAGTCAAGGCTGCTGGCAAATACTGACTATATCACACTCTGATTGCTAAGTGGTTTTTTAAAAAAAACGGTGCTAAATATAACATTAAATGCAACTAGATTACTCACTGGAGTCACATTTTATGTTGTATTTAGCACTTCTTGCAATAGCTGGACTGTAGTCATTTATTACTGTACTTAGCACTTCTTGCTGTCAGCTCGACTGTAGTCATCCACTGTTGTACTTAGCACTTCTTGCTGTCAGCTCGACTGCAGTCATCCACTGTTGTACTTAGCACTTCTTGCTGTCAGCTCGACTGCAGTCATTCACTGCTAACATCAGTCTAAAAACCTGAACCAGCACCATAAGTCTGATATGATCAAGGCATGGTGGAAACAAAAGACTCACTTTCACTATCTAACATTCAAGTAAACTTTAAAATCAACAAACTTTCTCTGCTGAGAACTACATCACTAACAAAAATAATCTATTTCCAGTCCATCTTCTTCAGCATTCTGAGCCTCTGGTGTTCATCGCTGCAGATATCACCAGCCTCCTTTCACGTCAGTGACTGGTCTTCTCTTTCCAGTTGGTAATTAAATGTTTGTCGGTCTGCTTGTACATAAGTTCTCCACTATCCTCTTGGACACCCCAGCTGTAATCGGGGGTCCTAATATAACCTTCCTCTTGGACACCCCAGCTGTAATCGGGGGTCCTAATATAACCTTCCTCTTGGACACCCCAGCTGTAATCGGGGGTCCTAATATAACCTAACGGTTGAATGCGGTTTTTGGGACTTGTACCCTTGTGATTCTCATCTGAATGGTGACACTTTGTGTCACTGGGTGTTTACTGCTCGTTGTGCGGCCCTGGTGGCATTGAACTTCATTCACTTTCATTCAAATGTTTTGTGTGGACAGTTTTTGTCTTTCTGTTACCTCCCGTTCTCTATCTATGCCCCAACATTCCATTAAATCTGCTCTCGTGATGCCGATAATTAGATTTGATTTAATTAAATAGATTATGAATTTCCAATCTTCAGAGCAATAAAATTAGCATCAACATTGGTCATTCTATACATAAATTTCAAACAGAAAAATCAGAATCTTATGCTTTCTTTTGAGCTTTCCTCCGCTCGCTCCTAACAAAACGCCGACGGACTCTAGCCCACCATATTCCTTTTTCATGATCAGGATTTTTCAGCTCTCCAAACTCACACGGCCCTGTCGTACATGGCGGAACCCACTTTTCTTCCAAGAACACTCTCTTTTTGATAACATCTGTGTCATATTTGAAAGAGCCTTCCAGCTGTGCAGGAATGTCTGTCTTCCCATCAAAGCGAATCAAAATATAACTAGAGTAGGAAATATAAAAAAATGAATGACAACCAGTTATTATTTGGTATGAATAATCAGAACAGTATTTGTATAAAATACAAACTTTACAATAAAAATATGCAACATACTGAACCCCATTTTTATTAAAGCTGGAACCAGAAAGTGTCTTGGGGAGTAAAGCTGACAATATGTTGACATTAGTCATCGAGTGTTGACTAGACTATACAATATGGGCCAGGGATTATGTGCCACATGTGACAACAGTATGAACATGGAATGGTCCTTTACTTCAGTATGCAACATACTGAAATGTCTTTCTGTGTAACATGTACATTTTGCTATTCTTGTTTCCAATGAGCTGAAATGCTATAGAAAGATTCTCAGAATATCTCGGACAAAGTAAAGTAAGTAAAGTAAAGGACCTTTTTCCACGCCTTTATGCGTAAAGGGCATACTGGGCTAGACCTATATTTTCTAGATCAATCAGCACAAGATGGGTGATGTGGTCAGCACTCGAGGCTGGGTCCACCTGGGAGCCAACGTCATTTTTGAAAAAAGTCTGGCTCCGCCAGGGAGCGAACCCACGACCTTACGATCCACGGCAAGCGTCTAGCTGCTTCGCCACAGCAATTCCCATCTTGGACATAGAAGAGGAGAAATACTGACATCTTGAAAGATCTGAACATGTAGAAAGATTGGTTAATAAACAGCATCCAGTCTCAGAAGCTGAAATATTTTGGTCACATCAAGCGCCACAACGGATTGGAAAAAATTACAGCAGAAGGCATGGTACCGGGAAGGAGGGGCAGGGCCTGACTGACATGAAGATGGCCACAGGATATAAGTGACAACTTTAGTAGAAAGTACATGAGGCAGGAGAGTTGGCAAGAGACTGATTTTCTTTCAGGCAGACCGTGATGAGAGCAAAGGACCTGCTACATGATGATGATGATGTTTCCAATATGCAATATATTGAAATGTCTCTCTGTGTAACATGTAGATTTTACTATTCTTGTTTCCAAAATGCAACATGCTGAAATGTCTGCCTGCCAGCTATGCAAAATGTTAACAAACTGATATTCACTTCAAGTATATATTTTACTATGCTAAAGGCAACAAACTGATATTATATTTAATACGTACATTTTTCTATTCTTCAATGCAGTATGTGTACTTGAAAGGTAAACTTTACTATTATTCTATAAATTTTCAGCATGCTGATATATTTTTTTTTAAAGTAAACTTTGCTACTTTTTTTTTCCCCCAAGATTATCTTCACATGACCATAAGTTCTTTGATCTCCTCCTGAGTATGTCTCCAAGTGCTTTTAGGTTGACAACTCCCATTCTGTTCTGGTTGATGTAATGATGGGTGGCTCCCGCAATGTTTTTCTGTCTTGCTGCTCCAATTGGAACACCCAGGGTACGCAGTCTGTTCAGTAAAAAATAATTTTCCACGAAAATGAAAGCCTCGCAGCGCTTAGTCTCTCGTATGGAAGTGATGATAGCTCTCCTACCCACAGACGGCCCATTCCTGATAGTCGCACTACCAGCCAGGGAGTCTGTTCTCTCATTGCCTTTCATACTAGCATGCAGTAGGACAAAAATGAAGTTGATTTTGTGAAACGCTGCGTGCGGTGTCAGATGGAGCCACTGTTTCCTTATAAGCCCCAACTTGATCTTCTGTAGCATGATGAGTCGCTGAAAAGGTACGCATGGGTGAATTCCTGAATTTTCAGCCATTCTAGGGCTTTTGTCACAGCCATGACCTCCATTCTCATGCTGCTGATAGTAGAAGGAAAGGTCCCACAGTCCTCTGATAAATTTTCCTTTGGTTTTTGCTGTGAAAGCCAATACACTTCGCTTCTGACAAATCACAGAACCATCTGTGTAAATAATAGCACCTTCTGGTGATGTGTGTTCCTCCAACAATGCTTTCACTTCTGCATCAACTATTGGTGGTGCCAAATCAAAACACTGTCTTGTCAGGATGCTATTTTTTCATGCTTCATACAACATAGTAATATTTCCATCCACCTAACAAGTAAACTTTGCTATTCTTAAAGGCAATAAGCAACATACTGAATTAGACACTGTCTTTTACAAAATATCTCCATAAGGAAATCTTTTCTTAAATAATAAGGAAATAAAACATCAAAAAAAATGGAACATCATCTGTAGACATTACTAAGTGAATAAGAAGAGGAGTACAACATTCTGCATGTCAAGGTATTGTTCCATGTGTTACATAGGACTCAGAAGGAAAAACACAAACGACTGGCATCTTGCAACTTCCTATGTAATATAAGACAACTGAGGAGGGAGGTATGCGGCTGGATACCTCAGCCCATAGAAAAACTGCTGATTCCCTATGATCTATCTTTCTCCAGTGTGTTACGGCGATTCAGAAGGGAAAAAGAACTGTCAAACTAATCTACTATGCAAAACTAAGAGGTGAGAGTCAAGCGACTGGCGACAACATCCTCTAAAAAAAACTTCACATCCACTAATTCATGATCAAGAAATCATGAAATCACCAGTTTTCCACATTTTGTATAAATTCAGGCCGTGAACCATATCCAATCTTCCCAAACAGAGGTGGGTGTCGGATTACTAACACAAACTGTGGGTGTCGGATTATTAACCCAAACTGTGAGTGTCGGATTACTAACCCAAACTAAAGCAATCTACTCTCTTTAATTTTCAGTTTTGTGTGTGTGTGTGTGTGTGTGTGCATATACTTTCTCTCAGAAATGTAGAAATAAAAAAGTGTACATTTTAGGTTTTTCCACTCACTTTCCTTCATTAAAACGTTGTCCATGATTTCTCAGTTTGTAAGGCAAGGGTTTCAGACCCAGATTCTCCATTCCTCGAATAAGCCCTCCTTGCTCCATAACATAGGAACAAGATCGCTTGATTGCTTGTGCAAATTCAGGCTAAAGAATAAAAACATGACTTAAGGACCACTTATATTTTAACTGGAAATACTGCATGTTACCTAGAACCTATTTTAATACACAATTATAAATCATGGGCAATTAGTAAATAGAAAAAACTGCATTTGAACAAAAAAATATTTTGCAATAAATCTGTCAGCATTCTTCTTCTTCTTCTCTTCTACCTTGTACCTCATCGAAGTGTCGGGAGGGGGGGGGGGGGGAACGTAATGTTCGTTGATGCGCTCTGTCAAGAGCACTATTAAGACTGATGTTCATTTCTGTAAGGCTGTTCTTAATGCCTTCACTCCATATTTTCCGAGGTCTTCCACTCGCCCTATACCCGTTAACGTTTTAGTGTGGCTCGCTGTGGCTGATAGTACCAGGGCATTCTTGTTAGGTGTCCAAACCACTTCATTTATTGTTCTTTGTCAGCATTACAAGTTATAAAAAGAATCCAGAACAGCAAAATAACCTTGAGGCTTTAGAGATGCTCTTGAAAATTCCATCCACAATCAAAATTATTAATCTAATTGTTTTCAAAATGACACAAGCACAGATATAACTTATCACAAGCAGAAGGTCAAAAATATGTCAAGGTTGCATTCAGTAAAGTAAAAAGTTGTAAAAGACCCATGTCATGTCAAGGCCATATCATGGGTATGATGTTAGACTCATATTTTTAATGATCAATCAGCCCTCGACGGGTGGTGTGAATTAGAACCCAAGACCTTTAGGCCAGCAGGCGGACCATCTGATTGCTAAACCATTGTGCCCGCTCCTCTCCCCTGCCACATTCAGAGTAGAGAAAAACTGGAACATACTGTGACTTCTAAAATGAGAGACAGGGGGAGACAATAAAAGAATGTTACTGTGACTTATAAAATGAGAGATAGAAAATGTGAACCTTCTGAGGTGTCAGCTAATAAAATTGATACATACAGTTGAAGACAAACAATGTGAAGCATGACTACCCATGCCTCTCAATCTTTCCTGATTATAGTCTTATCTTGCATTATACTATAGGCAGATATAGAAATTACACCCCATGGCAATGGCAAGCGTGACTACCCATTGCTGCCATCACACATATTTAATGTGCTTCTCTGATACAAATTTTTTTTAAAGCTATCTGCAATCATTTTCTCCTTTACGTGTAATCAGTTCTTGATTTGCCCCTCCATGCAAGATGGTCCATGGCATCCTGTTAAGGCACTAGATGATGATTTAATTAACACAAGCCTTACAACCAATGGTACACTAAGCAGAGGGTCTTGCCAGTTTTTCAACATGCCGAGGAAAAGACAGGCAGATGTTTCATCAGGGTGCAGCTGACATCTTTTGGATGGGAACTCTTTACTGGCTCCGGTAGAAGGAGACAGAGCATGTGTGGGTATTTCTCGAGTGCAGCCATGTCAATTCTTCACTCACTCATAGCTAAAAGTGGTGAAAGCCGATGGGCAGCCAGCAGGGAGCATGATGATGATGCTGGAGATAACATTTGATCCCCATGACCTTCATTATTATGCTGGACTCAAGGCTTCATCATGTTCTTCTTCACATTAACTGGCTGTAAACTGTGGTGGAAAGTTCTGGTTTTTCACCCACTTTTGGACTTAAGTCTTGTTCCAGAACCTGAGTATTGTATGTTTTACATATCTGACTTGTATGTAGACTGCTGGTTTTTTGCCTTTCAGGCACTCTGACTTTGAAGGACCTCCCCCCCCCCCCTTCCCATTAGTAGACTCTTATGACATGCTTGTTGGGGAAGCAGTGGGTCTATTCTTGCTTTCCCCCCCAATGGGGTACCAGAACCCACATGGGGAGAATGCCATACATAATACTACAAGCAGCTGTCACAAACGGAAATAGCACAAATATTTATATTGTGTCTATACAAGTGTATAGAGCAAGGGGAAGACCACTCAGACACACAATGAAACGATGGCATCAAGAACTTTAGTAGTGAAATAAATGTTAACTTACAGTTACAACAAGTGTTAAAGTAAATTAAGAGCATGTGACACAGGTGACAGAAGATTTCTTATCAATTTTGTGCAGCACTCATTTGACTATTCGGCTATTCTCCAAATAACGGTCACATATTATGGCAGCCACAAAAACACCATAACAGGGCCTCAGTCACATGTCAATTGCGGACTTCCGGTGACTTAAAATGCACACTACCTGCGACTCTCACCACCACCGAGAGTATCTGCTACGCACAGCGTGGATTGGGGCTAAACTAGATGGCTGGGACTCATGAACAGCAGCTACCGCATCACTTGCAGCTTCCTTCATTTTATTTGCTAGTGAATCCCAGCCATCTAGTTAAGCCCCAATCCAGGTCGCACGTAGCGGCGTGGGAGATACTCTCAGCGGTGGTGGGAGTCGGCCGAAGTGTGCAATTTAAGTTGCCGGAAGTCCGCAATTTACATGTGACTGAGGCCCTGTTTTTGGCCGCCATAAAATGTGGCCGTTATTCGGAGGATAGCCGACTATTCTTATAAACTCATAATATTATTAAACTAAGAGTAAGCAACTAAGTGAAATTATTTAACTCACTCAATGAGTACTAAACAATTTTTATATTGAGTTCATTTGGAATTTTTTAAAATAACTTGCTATTCCCAATGAGGTCACAATAAAAGCAACAGTAACAATACTCAAGTCTGAAAATGTAATGACTAATCCAGAGACACTGGGACATAAGTCGGTTATCCTCTGAATAACGGTCCTAAAGTATTGTGAGGCGGAAAATATACCCGAACAGGGCCTCAGTCACGTGTAAATTGCGCACTTTCGCCACTGCCGAGAATATTCCCACTCCGCATGAGCGGCGCGGACTGGGGCTAAACTAGATGGCTGGGACTCATGAGCAGCAGCTACCGCATCTCCTGCAGCTTCCTTCATTTTATTTGCTCGTGAGTCCTAGCCATCTAGTTTAGCCCCAATCCACGCGGTGTGGGGGACAATCTCGGCGGTGGCAGAAGTTGCCGGAAGTTCGCAATTCAGCGGTGCGCAACTGACACGTGATTGAGGTCCTGTTAGGGTATAATTTCCGCCTCGATAATTTACGACTGTTAGGCGTTAGGAGGATAGCCAAAAATTTTATATTTAATTAATGTATCATTTATTTAATGTTAACAATGTATACTTCTAATTGGTCAACACCAAAACACAACTTTAATCAACTTGAAATTGAATATTTCAATTTCTGAATTTCAAAAATAATTTTAAAATTTTTTTTCTTCACTGAGAATTTAAGTTTCGACCACAAAGGAAGTAGGAAGAGAACAAGAAAACAGGGTCTAGATCAATAAAATGCGTTTAGTGCACACATTAAAAACTGTGCATCAAAAAAGTACTTACCCTCTGCAAAGATTTGAAGATGACTGCTAATTCGTAAGTCGGCATGATGAAAAGCTCACCTTCACAACATTCAAGATTGGGAATATGATGGACTCACAAGATCAATTCAGCCGGCAAACTATGTCAACATAGTCGGCTGTAGTCAAGTAAAACATTTATAACATCAAATCAGGCCACGTCTCCCCCCCCCCCTTTTTCTTCCCTCCCCCCCCCCCCCCCCCCCCCCAATGGTTGCAGCCTAAAGGATTGACGCCTGGGTGAGTGACTCAAAGAGCCGTGGCACTGATCACAGGCGGCATCATAGCACACCGGGCATACATATAGATGCTTCGTCTCCCGCGGCAAGTGTCTTATGGTGTAGATGCGTACTGTTACCCTAGAACACTAATTATACACTACAACGTTCTCTTCTCATACGTCCGTTCTTTCCGTATTCATTCCTAATTCATCGTTTACAAGTTCTTTTATATGTTGTTTCATCTAACATCGTGTCTTCTATCAGTATCGTTTATAGAGGGTCTTTAGAATGTCTCCCTTCTCCAACAAAGGTGTTCCCGTAACTATTACCTTAGTAGCCAGAAAATTCGCTCGTTCATTACCTCGTACTATCACATGTCCCGGGCAGAATATCCACGTGATTCCCTGTAATGTTGAAGTACTCATGCTTGGTATCCATTCGTGCTACAATTTTCCATTTTGAACTGTCCGCAACACCTACTGAGATTCAGACACTATAACTCCTCTGGTAACTATTTTCTGCTACCCACCTCAGAGATGTAGTTATTGCCTCCACCTCCATCCTCATACTTGAAATTCAACATAGGAAAGCTCCATTTTGTTCTGCCACGATCTTTCTCTTCATTCTAGCTTAAAAGCCCCAGCCACATCTTACACCACGATAAACATGACAATCGGTGGACACTGTTGCAGCATCTAGCCCAGCATTTTCATCCATCAGTTGTTGTACCTCTAATTCTGCCATACACTACTATCGACATTTTCTTTCTAATGTGACTGATTTTTCCTCCTGTGTTTTTGCTCAAATGCCGCACCCAGCTCGACGATATCTTCATCTGGTGCCATCCAGAAATTTCCTCTTTTCAACTTGTCTCTTCTAAAATCTGTCAGATGGCCATGCAGCTGATGCCTTTCCTCATTGGTAACTCTCAAAGAGGCCACATTGCGCCAGTGACAGTCTGAACTTTACCGATGTCCGCTTAAGCATATACCTCACTGTTTTAATTGGGGCTTCTCGTATGCAATCTAAGGCGATTATTATTCCTTCATTTTGAATTAGTTAAAGCTTTGTACACTGTAAAGTAGACAGAGTTAAAATTCATAGGCCGGAATCAGTTACTGAAAGTGCCACATGTTTTTACAAAAATACCAGTAGTCTCTGCTCGATGGGTGTTTCCACCATTGTCTTCAGTGCTGTCAGACCAGGCTTGCATTTGATCACAGTCTGCTCCACATCATATTTGTAGGCCAGACTGTGGTCAAACGTCAGACCTAGGTATTTCGGCTGATCTCATCTTTCAGCATGAATATCCCTCATGGATATGCTGGGAAAGTCTTCCTTCCCAATGCTGTTATTTAAGGAGCACCACAAAGCACTGGCCTTCTCTTGGTTTACCTTTGACCCAGTCTGTTCACACCACTCCGTCATCTCACGCAAAGTACTTTGCAAGTCTCTGTTTGTGTCGTGCTTGTCTGATCCACTTCGGTACACAAGAACATCATCTGCAAATGTCAAAGTTTGCCCTGGTCCAGCAGGCTGTATATATGTTGAACAAGACAGGTGATAATGGTGATCCATTAGAAAGGTCAAGGCAAATGTGTATTGGATCTGATCTACATGTTCGAAAAAAAAAAAAAAAAAACACTGTTCTTTCCAACAGTGCTGCCCCATCCTATTAGCCAACCAAGGGTTCACACCACAGTCCATAAGATATGTGAAGTCATCGCCGTTATAGGCATCTTCAAGATCTATCGCAACACTGACTGTTTATTGTGTTGGCTGAAATCTTTCATCTTTCAATGTCTGCGTGTCTCTGTTTGTTTTGGTTTATGCGTCTGCCTGAATGTCTATGTGTGCGTGTGTGACTGTATGCGTGCCTGTGTGTGTATCTGTGTTGTGTTTCCCTGCCTGCATGTGTGTATGTGTGTTTGTGACTGCATGAGTGGGTTTATGTCTGTGTGCGTCGGTGTGTGTGTTTGTATGGGTCTTTTTGTGCGGCTACGTGTATGTATGTATGTATGTATGTATGTATGTGTGTCTGCGTGGGTTTATGTCTGTGTGCGTCGGTGTGTGTGTTTGTATAGGCCTTTTTTGTGTGGCTGCGTGTGTGTATGTATGTGTGTGTGTGTATAGCTGTGTGTGTCTATATGTGTTTGGGTTGTATGCGTGTGTGTTTTAGAGCGCATGTCTGTGTGGGTGACAGTGTGTATGTATGTATGTATGTATGTATGTATGTATGTATGTATGTATGTATGTATGTATGTATGTATGTATGTATGTATGTATGTATGTATGTATGTATGTATGTATGTATGTATGTATGTATGTATGTATGTATGTATGTATGTATGTATGTATGTATGTATGTATGTATGTATGTATGTATGTATGTATGTATGTATGTATGTATGTATGCATGCAATGCATGCATGCATGCATGCATGCATGCATGCATGCATGCATGCATGCATGCATGCATGCATGCATGTATGTATGTATGTATGTATGTATGTATGTATGTATGTATGTATGTATGTATGTATGTATGTATGTATGTATGTATGTATGTATGTATGTATGTATGTATGTATGTATGTATGTATGTATGTATGTATGTATGTATGTATGTATGTATGTATGTATGTATGTATGTATGTATGTATGTATGTATGTGTCTCCAAATGCTGTTACGCGGAGGGCGGGGCTGAGGATAAGCTCTTTGTCTCCATGAAATACCCTCAAGGCATGTGCCTCTCAAAGCCTCTGACAGCAACAGTACAAATCCTGGCCTTAACGTGGCGGAGATGTTTAAACTAACAGGAGAAGGGGCGAAAGCGGGTCTCTGGCGCTTCAACCAGACGCTTCGGGTAGATGAGGCTCGTCAGTATGGGAGTGCAGCTCATCTAGGAGAAGGAAAACTCTGACTTCAAACCACGGGCAGATGAGGCTCGCCAGCACGGGAGTGCAGCTCATCTAGGAGAAGGTAAACTCTGACTACACACCTCCACTACCTTGTGGTCATACCCAAATTTGGGAAAGTGCTTCGGGAGTAAACCCTGAGGAAAAATCCGGAGCTGGAATCCCTAAGGTGGTTTAGCATTGTATACAGTGCTATTCCGGCAATTCCTGCAACGTCTTTGGTGCCAAGTTGTACTGGTTTTTGCCTTTCCCTTGGTATCACCGGCGACGTAGAGAGGGGGTACTTGCTGCCTGGGCAACAGTCTGTACTCCAAATCAAAACACCCTGGCCTGTGCCCTGGAGAGGTCACTCCAGCGATGCTTAACAGTTTCGACACAACACGGGAAACAGCAGTCACCGGTTATAAGCCTTTGCTCAATTGGCGTAGAGCTAGGCGCCAGGGGTTGTTTCCGACGGTAGGAGAGACCATCGTAGTCTCATTGGACAGCTACCGCCCGCCTCAGCTGGGCAGCCCTCAGTCAGTAAGGTGTTGTCCCGCCACGATCCGTTTGCCTTGTTGGGTGCACAGGGCTTAGGGGATAACCCGACATACGGATTGTAATGCTTGTACCTACACAAAGAAGCCAAAAAATCAGATTCCCAGCTCTAAAGCTGGGCACATGGAACGTGAGGACCATGACACCTGGTATTCTGGACGATCTGCAGCATATGAGCGATGTAAGGAAAACTGCAGTCATTAACAATGAACTGTCCCGTTTGAACGTAGACATTGTTGCCCTACAGGAAACCCGGCTCTCCTCCTCAGGTAGCATCAAAGAGAAGGACTTCACATTCTTCTGGCAGGGAAAACCATCTTCGGAGCCCATGGAACAAGGCGAAGGCTTTGCGATTAGGAACCGATTGCTTGGAACTGCCACACCACCTACAGGAGGATCAGAAAGGATTCTTAAAATTCAGGCCCAGACAAGAGCTAGATCAGTCACTCTGATAAGTGCCTATGCACCAACCCTGCCCTCTTCTCCCGATTCCAAGGACAAATTTTACGAGGAACTCAGTTCCACACTCAGCGAAGTCCCGGACAGGGAACCCCTTTTTATTTTGGGTGACTTTAATGCAAGAGTGGGCGCTGAGCCCAGCTCATGGCCATCCTGTATGGGACATTTTGGAGTAGGAAAAATGAATGAAAATGCACAGAGGCTGCTTGAGCTATGCTGTCTTCAGAACCTCTGCATCACAAATACCTTTTTTGATCTGAAGCCCCAGCACAAGGTCTTTTGGAGACATCCCAGATCTAAGCACTGGCATCAGCTTGACATCATCCTCACTAGACGCAGTCACCTTCATCTTGTAAAGGTCACTCGCAGCTATCACAGTGCAGATTGTGACACAGATCACTCCCTTGTGTGCAGCAAAGTGAAGTTAATCCCAAGCAGAATACATCGGGCAAAGAGGCCAGGATGGCCCCGCATTGACACAGGAGAAAGTCGTAATCCTGGAAAAGTAGGAGAATTTATAAAAATCCTGAGCACAGCTCTGCCCGGCCCACCAAACGCGGATGCTAGTGACAGATGGAAACATCTAAAACACGCCCTATATGATTCTGCCATGTCCGTGTTCGGTAAGAGGCAAGTTAAATCACTGGACTGGTTTGAGGAACACAAGGAAGAAATGTTGCCAATAATAGAGGAGAAGAAAAAGGCTTTATTGGGATATAAAATCCAGCCAAATATCAGAAATCTGCAAGTGCTCAGGTCCATTCGGTCTAGAGTCCAGAAAACTGCACGGCGCTGCGCTAATGATTACTGGATCAAACTTTGTGAGAGGATACAAACCTCAGCAGCTACTGGCAACATAAGGGAAATGTATGCTGGCATCAAGAAGGCTATT